TTATCTGGTGTTGTTTTAACAAAAAAAAGGACATTGGGGAAAACTTTTTCCAGAAAAGGCTAATTTCTCATATTTGATTAAATGTTCAACAGAAATAGTGTCTTAAAAATACTCTTTCCCTTTCTCTCCATAACTGACATTTTAGTTATTTTATAAACACGTTTTGAAGGGAAACGCCACTTCTAATACTTTCTTCCAAAAGAAACCTTTAAATTCCTTTTTTGCTTCTGCTGTGTTAATAAACTAAGGCATAATTGAATTGCATTGAACTGAATTGCATTGAATGGCGTATATGATGGATAGTAAAGCTTTTTGTTTTTCAAAAAAAGTCACCGATTAGTTAGGCCTAAATTTCTTTTCATTAAAAATAAAGGACAAATAAAAGTAGTTTGAGAGTTGGTTTCTTTTCTTTCTTTTTAATTATGTCAAAAAATAAAGACAATTTATGACTTGTATTCAATGAAATTACTATTACATGAACATATGTCTTTCAGTGTCAAGAAAGTTTGATGACGTTTCTGTTTTTGGGGGGAGAGGGCGCTATTGAAATAAAGTGAAGTTGTCATGGGCTGGTTGACATTTTGAAACAACGGAACCAACTCTCTGACGATAGAATTTTCTAAAAGTTGAACAATCTACTTATTACTGAAGAGATAGCGTCAAATGTTCAATCGTGAAACTCTCACCAACCATAAATATGGTCTAAGTTAGACTTCCAGCTGACGCATTCCTACATAACGTCTAGTTTACAAGTTAGTAGTAAGTCTAAAGCATAGGACAGGTTGAGTGTGAAGCTTAAAAACCCCCCAGGCTGTGAAAAACTAACAACAGCGCTACTGAAACTTTGAAGCCGTAATTTGAAGCCATTTTCTACATTCAAACTGTCGAATGAATGAAAGAAAGATGGGCGATACTTAGATACTTAAAAAAGTATTATTCAAACATTTGTTGATTCCTTTACTTTCTGAGTGGAACATGGGGCTTCAGGTTAGGGCTTTAAAGTTTCAGTAGACGGTTAAGACTGACAGCCCCACACCAAACTTCCACTATTTACATCGCTTACTACCTGTTAATGGAAGTGAAGGATAGCACTAGTCGGGAATCGAATCTCGGATCACCTGCCTCATTGGCAAGAATCGTACACCTGAACCATTGACGTACATTGGGTAAGGTAGGATGTGTTCACTAAATAAGACTTTATCACATCAAGTGAATGACTGACTAATTATTCCTATCATAAAGTCTGAGAGAAAAGCTTTGTCAGTAATTCCTTTATATTATAATCACCTCCTCTGAAAATGATTTGATACTTGGGTCTATTTTAATTATCCTAACAAGATTTGCAATCCAACAAAAACCTTTCAGTAAATTACTAACTCAAGTATTGGTTTTGTAGAGACTTTTTTTGATTGGTTGGAGGATTTTATCATGAGCTGACATCGGTTAGAGAACCATTGGAAAACCAACTGGGAGTACTGGACAGCTGTTTCGTTCTATTTTGGGACTCTTCATCAGTACGCATCCGCCTCACTTTGTAACTAGAAGGTCCTGGGTTCGAACCTCGGTGGGTGCGTACTGTGAAGAGTCCGAAATTAGGACGAAACAGATTTCCAGTACTCCAAGATCTTCCAGTGGTCCTCTAAATGATGTCAACTCATGATGAAATCCTACAAACTCATTTATTCATTCATTTTTAGTCAAGTCTTCTCAAGCGATGAAAATGCATCATAAGAACTGTTTGAAGCCTAATTCATTAATTGTGATCTATCCCAACTTTTGAGTTATGATTATAAACTATACAGGAAGTAACCAATGTCACCTGTCTATACCATGATATTGTTATTGTGTTTGTAATGTGGTCACTAGTCAGAGGTAAACGCCAGGAAGCCTTATACGTAGGTTTCATGAACGTTGGTATATCTAATACTTCAGAAAAATTGATATCTTGTCGAGGATTTGAATTCAACTAGTAGCATTCAATCATTATCAACTCTGAAGACTAGACAAATGGTTCTCTTTACCCTAATTTGACCAATAATGCCTTCATCGTAGTCCTGAAGGAAGTTGACTGTGATCCTGGATAGCTGAGTGGTAATCTTTCTGTCATCAGTTTGAATTTATTGGGAGACACCAGTGTCTTCAGAGTTATCGACGCTGGTTGATTACGAATATCAGTGAGAACGATTTCGCGTTCCAGGGACTTCTACTGAATACCTCTAATCACCCAAAATAGATTTTCCACTTTAACCCCCACTAATAATCTTTTATTTGTGTTCTCCCATAAGAGTAAACCAGGGCAAATCAGCTGGGAGTACATGACATGTAGGGATGTTTATTTCTTAATAGTCATACTTTGAACTTGAGCACTGTAGTAGTATGTAATTTCATATTAATTTGTTTATTGAATATATCACAGAAATAGAGGGAACAGTGTCCTCCATTGTGTTGAAACGTTTTGGTCACAATTTATTGCTCATAATCATATCAGTTGTAACTACACAAATACGAACCTTGATTTTGCGTACAACTCTTTCATCCTTCCTAGAGTTTCGATTTAGTTGTGGTCTCTCAGCTGGTCGATTTCATTCCGAAGCTTTTATTGTCCTTCTAGACAACATCTCTAGTATGGGTTTTAGTAAAAAATGAATTTATCTGAATTTTCCATGAATGATATAAATGTGTCTTATGGCACCCATTGCTGTGATTGGTAGTTAATTTACGTCTCTGTTGACCATTTTTGTTAACTTGAAATTTGAAATTTCTTGTAATGAGACTAATTTTTTTATTAATCGCTGAATATGTGTTTATTAAACGCTGATTAACCTAAGTATCAAGCATTTGGAAATTCCCAGGTAGTATATGTGGTGTTTTCTCTATTTAAGATTTCTACATTCTTCCAACCAACTTAGGGTGCATAAGTTTCGACATGCATTGATATGAGAAAATACATATCGTGTCTTTTCACAGCTAGTTTATGTTCATGGATTCTGATTCTAAGGGGATGCCCACTTTGATAGATGTAGCGTTTATCACAGTTCATGCATGTAGTTATATTTTGTAAATGGTATTAATTTTATCTTCTTTTCTTGTTGGATCCTTCGGTCTGCACAATACTGAATGAAGTGACTGTGGAAGGCTTTTGTGCTATGTGCTATTTCAAATGATCATAATATTCTAGCCGTTATCTTAGAGATATTTTTAATATATATGATGGAATTAATTTTCTTGTAGTCTTTGATGATGATGGTTTCTTGTTAGTCCTACGACTTAAGTTGAAACACTTTTTGATGGAACTGTGTACGGGTATTCATTCTTTTTGAATACAGTTAGTAGGCATTTTTCTTCTATGGTCTTCAACACCGGAGTGTTACAGTGTGTGTTCAGACCCTCTTAGACAATGTCTGTGTGTAGTTGTGTCAGTAATTGAGTTATTGCTATTTGGGTGCGTTAATTTCCTATATCCTTGTGTTTCTAAATTCCTGTGTTTTAGGTCTCCTGATTAAGTTATCTAAGAATGGAATTTTGTTATCTAATTCTTCTTCTCTTTTGAACTTGATAACTTTAAATATGTTGTTTATTAATTTATGGGTGTTTTCTAAATCATTCCTTTTAATTATTACAAATTTGTCATCAACATAACGTACCTAGAGTTTTGTTTTAATTATGGGTAGAACTGTTAATTCTGATCTTTGCACAACGGCTTCAGCTATTAATCCTGATATGGGCGATCCCAGTGGTGTTGCTCTTATCTGTTTGTATACTTGTTTATTGAATTGGAAGTATATTGCAAAACATATTCCAATATTATGGGTTTCATTTAAGTTGAACATTACGTTTTGATAGTTTCATCGCTATAGAGTAGTCCCAGCACAGTTTCTTTTGCTAGTTTTGGACTAATTGAAGTATCTAATGCCATTAGATTAAATCACACCAGATGTCCGAAACAGGTTTTGATTCATTCCTACTGAACGTATCCTCAGTTGATTCAAACACACGAACTAGAATGTAGGGGAAACACAATTGAATCATAAATAAAAAACTGATTAGGGGGAACTTCGGGTGTTAGAAAAGGAAACAAGATGATAACTTACGCACTAGTGTTCACAGAAAAGCCACACATTCTGACCTACATTTGGATATCGGTTCATTCCACTCCATTTCAGTAAAATTCTCGCCAAATTTAAGATGATACTACGGGCCTGGACTACATTGACTCCCAGCTAAGTAAATATGAGGTGAAGTGGTAGAGGACGTTGACTGCGGGCTGATCGCTGTCGAAATCTCAGAATGGATACAGAAGGCTCGTTTTGCATATGCCAGTTTACCCCCTCTCTGGCTTAGACGTGATATCTGACTGTCTGTCGACCAAAGAGCATGTGTACTGCCCAGTAATCCGCTCCATCCTCCTTTGTGTCTGTGAAACCTGGCCATCGAGACTGAAAGACAGTGAAAGCCTGTCTAGCTGTCTTTGATCGTAGGTGCTTGCGTTCTATCTCCCGTGTGAAATGGTGGTACGATTAGATGATCAATATTGAGATCAACCATCAGTCGAGTGCTAGTTGAGTTGGAGGGGAGACCAATCGACGAGGCTGTGACGTTTCATCGACTGAGATGGTTAGGACATGTGTTACGCATGCATGCCAAGCCATCACGTTCCTCGATGGGTAATGTAAGCTGGTATAAGATCAGGTTGCGAAAGAGCCAGTGGTGGTCGAAACAAAACATGGCTTCATCAGTCAATGAAATCCGCAACAGTTAGTTCAAACCAGTTACGTGAAAAGATGTAGACTTCCTGACTAGTTATGGTCCTCGGGACGGTAAACAATAAACAGATCACTAAGGGATCTACTACTGTAATCCGTTCAATACGAAGAAGCAGCAGTTATTTAACATGTCCGACTGTTTCTTTTACTTGGATATATTTTTAACGTCTCTGTATGCAAATTATTCTTATTTCCAGCGTTAATATTGACATGTGTATCCTCTACACTCTTTTTCAGGTGCATCCAGAGAGCAATATCACAACGATGAACAACAACCCCTTAGAAGTTTCTCTCCTTCAAGGTAGCCCAATATTCAGGACACACAATACAAAAGACACCACACTACCATATGCTTTTTGTACAAATATAGCGTATAACAGTTCACCAATGACTGATTCAATGACATCAAATCTATCTCATTTAAGTAGTAGTGAAAATTATGTAACACATTTTATTACACCAGATACAATTATATCGACTGTTAATACAGATGAACTGCAACAACAACACCACAGCCACCTGAGTAAATCCGTTTGTCAACAGCACACAGCGAATTCACTATCGCCGACATCATCGAATTCTCCACAGACTTGTATTATTCTTGATCCAGATAGCTTGAAATTTAGTTCAAAACTTGTTTATTTCTGTTCATCGAATGCAAATCTTGAAAGCAAATGATCCTTTTTCTTGTCAAGATCACCACAAACAACCACAAACACTATCACGTTCTTCTCTTTATGTATTTTACATTCCATATTTTGAGCGAATCCCTTGGATCCATGAGAATGGCTTGAAGTGGAATGGAAATTTCAGAACTTGTTGTAGTTTACAAGCAAACGATGAGTTAGTTACTTTACGCCACGACAAGAACAAAACAAAACATCTATAAAGGCTGTAATCGTTTCTCAGATGCGTCAACTGGTACGCCAATTCACTGTGTATATACTGCTCCACTAGGAATTATAATAAAAAATGAAACAAAGATCCAACCCACGGATCCAACCAATCAAGGAATTCTCCAGTGGATGTGAGAGCCCGGCAGAAAAGCTTACTCACTGCACATGAAAGATTGTATCATTTTGGAGAGTTATAATTTTGCAAATAAAAACAAATCATAAAAATTGGATGATTGAAGGATCAAGATAATGGCTTGAAGTGCTTACTTATTTTGCTTATGTGAAAATCTGTTCCGCCTGTCTATAATTATATTTTGCATTTCATTGATGTACAAAAATACTTTTTACACATTATATTACACAGTTTTGAAGCGTACACTTTCATGGAGTAATCACTTTTTTCGGAGGAAATGTAATAGATACACTTATTGTGAGAGAAGTGAAGGCAATAATAATAATCATTTTTTTATATGCAACATACGTTTTTTCTCTTCACATACTTTTTGGAGATAAATCGATTAAGATGGATGGTTATGGCATGTTTAGCGCTTGCCGGCGCATCGCTTTCTTCGACAGACAATGATGGGTGACACAGAATTAGGTTGAAAAAGACTCAGAGGTGGTCAAAGCACGACATGATGTCAAACCGTGAAGTCTTTGAATCTTTGGAAGGTTTAGAACACTATGTTACGATCCTCGGGGTGCTAAGGATCAATGGCTAGAGACTATTGACGATATGGCTGGAAATCGACCTCAGTGATGCATTCACTCCTTGTAATCCTCGCTGGCCACTAATCTCTCATGTTTTTGAACGTTCTTATTCTTTCTCCTGTACCTTTCTGCTCATTATGACTCTTGAATTTTTTTACCCCTCGTTTATCTACCCAGTCTGCCTGAACTTCTTCACTTCTGTTCGAAAATCAATCATGGAATTCACTCACCCTCAACAGCAGAGCTGGCTTTAGTATCAACTATGGTTTTAGAATCCTGTAAGAGTCCACTGGACATCTCTTTCATTGACCTAGAATGTTACTGGTGTTCTCCAAGATGACTTTTCTATTCCATTGTTTCACATATTATAGGCTTTTACTTCCGTCTCAAACGATCACCTTTATGTAAGCCCCAATTTCCACTCAACTCAAGAACCTGACATATAATTACACTCAACGTTCTCCTCAGCCTATGTCCAGTCCATCCCCACTTTCTCCAGCGTATTTGCTGGTATTTGACATCTTCATCCATACCGCTCATATTTAGTTGAAACCATGCTAACTAGCGAGGTAATTGAATTCGGTGTCACCCTTCAAATTTCTCCCGCTAACGGTGACTGATGTGTTTTGATTTTGTTGTTGGCTAGTTATTATTACCCCTGTCTTCCCTATGTTCGCCACTTGAAGTCCTGTCTTCACAGCGCACCTCTTCTGCCAAACTGTGGGTTTTTGTTTGCGAAGTATGAGTGGAGTAAGACATAAGTCTTCATATCAGTCCAATGTATTACCTGTCTTCTCGCTCCCGAGGGTATTTCGCATGATCCAGTCTCTTAAAGTCAGCATCGGTGTTGATAATAATGATAACTTTTGGTTCAAAAGTATGGAATTTTCAACAGAGAACATATCTACACTAATATCCTCCAAATGAACTAAAAAGCTTATGTATCTTATCCGATCCCTATTTTATTTGACGCATATGTTAACAAGAAGACCTACAATTGTCGAACTTACACGGCTTGATATTTAGATGCTGAGTTTGTAAAGTATATGACTTCACCTACGGATTAATATAATCACTGGAAATTAAAATGCACTTAACATTTGATTTGTAATAGTGAGGATTTTCTATAGTGGGTTTGTAAAGATTAGTTTTGTTTTTGCGAGTTGATCACAAATTGATATCAGTCAGAGAACCATTGAAAACTAGCTGAGAGTACTGGACAGCTGTTTCATCCCTCTAGTTTGGGAATCATCGGCAGTACGCAACCACCAACCAGGGTTTAAATACAGGACCTTCCGGTTACAAGGCAAGCTAGCTCGTATACGATTCAGCCACTGGAAGCCGATTCAATGGCCACTGCATGAATTCTAACTTTCAGCAATTCGTGATTTAGCGCGACTAGCACCAACCAATGTCATGGGTGGGACATCCACCTTCACATTTCACTGGATTTACCTCACTGGTCACGACTTCTAACTAGGACAATGATTCTCAACCAGTACTCCCTGGTTTTCAATGGTTTTTTTACTGATATCAATAGTGACAACAGAATGCCTCAAACTAGAGCTTTGAGGTTTCGGTAGCAGTGGTGTTTATTTTTACGGGGTGGGATTTCTAGCCTCACGCCCAACCTTCCTTCTTTACCAGCTGAGCTAGGTAAAGAAGTACGTCGGCCGGGGATCGAATCGTGAACCACGTGCGTCGTGGTTGGCGAGCATTCTACCCTTAAACTACCGGCGTACGTGTCTCCATAGTAAGTCAAAATATTCTGATTTTGGTAACTATATGGATTTAGATTTGTTTCAAGGTAAATTTCCTCACAAAATTAAATTGGTTGTAGTATTATGGAAAATATAAAAGGATTGGATTGCCTTTTCGTTTTTGTTTGGGACACTTCAGGAGTCCCCGCCTATTAGCGATCGAACGTAGGACCTTACAGCTTAAGGCACGTCCACTAACCAGAAAGAAAATGGGTCGTATTTCGATTATCTCTGATTAATAAATCCTGTCAAACTCTAATCCAAATTCCGATCCATTGTCTGAATGATCGCCTGACTGCTTCCCTCAAGGGCGAATATTGCTGACGAATCGTAAACTAAGACAAAACAGATGTTTTCAATAATTCTCTAAATATGGTTCGTTCGTGACGAAATCTTCACTGAAAGTGACGATTTAAATGCACAGTGCTGAAGAATCCTAGAAAGGATGAAACAGACATCTATTAATCCCTATTCCTCAGTACTTATTTTCAATGTCAGTTTATGATGAAATCTGCTTTCAATGAACTTCAATGCTCAAAGTTTTATTTTGGCAGGATACAACCAAACATAAATCAAATAAAAGCAGGAGAAAAGATCCGCTAATCTTCATAATCTGATCAGTAATTAATGCTTCTATGTGTTTAAACACTCACCTGCTAATTTCACACACTGTGTCACAATAAAGGTGGAAAGTAAATACTCAGTGACTTAAATCACAACGAATTCACGTAAAAAGTTTCAACAGTGCTATGGAAAATACCCTTCTTCATCGATTCAAATTCAAAATAATCAAGAAATTCAAGTAAGCCCACTGAAAAAGATTTCAAAATTTACCATGAACAGTAAGCAGGTGATTGAAACAGAACTTTTCTCAACAAAAAAAAAATTAGAATTTGAAAAACAGCCAACCTCACTTATAATCTATGATTATTCGTAACATAGGAAAAGATAAATGAGACAGAAAATGGTCAAATTGTGGTATGTTACATAGATTTACAATTAGAAATGCGTATTATTCAGTAATAATAGGAACCTCAGCACTCTTCCTTTATACTTACTGAGCAGAGAATAGCTTTGATTTCTGGCCATATACACATATTCCGCAAAGTGATAGAAGTTCGAGTTTATGGACCACTGGATTCCGTTCAGTGACTGAATGGTCAAAAGACTCGGCTCATAACCTGAAGGTTCTATGTTCCATCTCCATTTTTACGTAATAAGCATTTTCTGTTGAAGAGTTGAGAACTTGGACAAAACAGCTGTCAAGCATCCAGTGACTCTCCAAATTACAACAGTTCGTAATACAACTCTAAACTATTCGAAACCCTGAGAACTAACACTTGAAAAAAAGTGGAAGACAAAACAAGTCAATTCAGAGAAACAGACGTCAAATTCATCAGGAGTGAGCTGATTGGTAACTCATGATTAGGGCAGAAATTTTATGAGGAGATTTGTTACCTTGGATTCAGTCAGGTTTTATTTTCAAGAGGTAACAAGATCTGTTGGTGCCCTGCTTAAATTTGAACTACCGAAAAATCCCATCGATATTTAACAGATATTTTCTCCCATTCAGTTCGTTTAAATCTGATAAAATATGACCTTTAGTTACATTTTATGCTCTGGCGAGTAAAAAGTCAGTTGCAGTGAAGAAAATTTTCTTTTCGACGAATTCATCAACTAGGAGGCTGTACATTCGTGTATTTATATCAAATGCATGGGAAATTTCCAGAATAATTTCCGGTTAAGGGTCAAATTAATAAAAATTACAATTAGGAATTAGTATGTCATAATAAACAGAGGGACGGATAAAACTCAAACAAAGTAGTATAATAACTAAGAGGATTTACATTGTGCAATTAGGGGTTAGAAATGTAGAAATAACAAAATAGACAGCATGTCTGTATACAAAATCTAGTGGGATCATAAATAATGTGACGAATAATTGCTTATGCAATTAGGTACTAAATATGTAGAAGTAATAAAATGACAAAATAGAGAGCAAGTTTGGACATGAAAATGTGGTAGTGTAAATGTGAAAAAGATTAAGAAAAACTTAAAAATAGCATGAATAAAGAGGGAGTTTGGATAAAAAAGGCAATGGGATAGTCACTATGGGAAGAATTAGCTGTTCATGATGGCCATGGCTGGGAAAGGGTTGGGCGTATATCTTTTGGATACATATATCGTGGGTTTGATCTTTTGGATAGCTAGCGGATCAGCTATACCCAGATGCCCTGATTTCACTCCCTTTGATAGGTTTGATTGAATCTTGCATATTACTTTGAAGGACTTTTCGAAAGGCACTGAGTGTCCTGAATTGACCAGATGTTCTGTCACTGAACTGTATACACGTTCTTTGGTCT